ATAAAGTTACGCGCAAGAGCTGACTGAAAAACAGTTTCAACTGCGAGTCTGAAGCAGCTCTAATGAACTACCAATTGTGTAGCTAGTTATAAGTGGTGGTTTGTTTATATTATGAAATTGAGTCTCAAAGCAGCTTCTAATCATGAGCAGTGAAGTTCCTTGTTTCAGATTGGGTATGATGTTACAGGAAGCCTTCTTAATTTGCAAACAAGTAAATTAAGCAGGAAAAGAATAGTGCTTGTACATTTGCAATACAAGCTTAGGATTGGCAGTAGGAAAGGATGAGGATCGTGTAGTTGTTACCCATTTTATTCTTACGCTTGTGAAAAGCATCATTCATTGCCATCCTGCCTGGGGTGATGGGTTGCTTGGTTAAAGGTACTACAAATTTAGATTTTGCAGGTGGGAAATTAGTTTGGAATCGATGTCAGAATACGTTACATAAAAAGTGTATCTCATTAAAATAAACGCACGGTATGTAACTTTGTATTGATCTGTCCTGCTATGAGTCCCGCTCAGGTCTCTTTAGCCAGAAGAAGATTCCTTGATAGCAAATCAAATTAATCTGCTAAACTTGCCAGTTTAATATAATAGGCTAAGAAAATCTCAGAAGAGGAACTAAAAGGTAGTTGAGTTGCTTAGTATTTGTGATGGTAGATGAAAGAGTCTTTCTCCCATCTTCACAAATGAAATGTAATTTGTAAGTTCAGCTGTTAACCAACTTTGTTTATATCTAGCTGGCTCGATGAGGGTATTAAGGAAGAGTTCAAACAATGGACCTGTTCACACAACTAGTTTCCTTCCATTTGCTGTAGTCATTAACAAGAACTTTAAATGTATAAATAATGCATGGCCCAAAGTCTAATTTTGATACAGTGATTACTTCCTTTTATATTCACCCATTAAGAGCCCCCTCATGCTACCCCATACAATGTGTTACACTTGCTCTTTAAAGAGTGTTTATAACTGTTTTTTTTTAAATGTAATAACATGCTTTTTGGCTGATGTTCTCTTGTAGCTCAGTTGAAAAGTTATTTAATAAAAGAAGGTAATGCATAATAGACCCTCTGCCTCTTAAGGAAATTTAAGAAAGCTTTTTTGCCCATGAAAGTTGTTACCAGCTGTGCCTAGAGGTGCACCGCTATGAATGAAAATGCAGCTCTTTAAGGCATTTGTTTCTGTGCTCAAATCTTAGTGATGCACTCTTGTACTGCAATCACAGCTCATAACATGCACTTTTAAAGCCTCGGAAGAAATTGATTGTAAATATAGATGATCTGGTGAAGCTGTTCCTAGCAGATGTCATGATTACTTAGAAACCTTTCAAAAATTAGATGCTGAAATGACATCAAATGCAAGTAAATGTTCTAAATGTGATTTATGCCATTCATTCAGAAATTCTAAAACCCTACAAGAGTTGCAGTTTCTACATGAAAATGTTTGGTTTGTACATAAATGCCTGAACCTCCTGCTTTGTGACCTTGAAATAGCTCCAAAGAAGGGAATAATTTTAGTCTACAAATAATTCATGAAGCTTTTTAATACTACCTTGTTTTCTTAAGAAAAAGCAAAAGCTATAAACCTGCGGTATTTTTGCCTTCCAGAATGAACTTCCGAAAGGCCTATAATGAGATAAATTTGGTGTCATTTGTACCTTTCAAAGCCTATCAGTTTGTTGCAGGGTTTCTTTTTCGCCGTTGCTGTTCTTGAACAGGTAAAAATACACTTCAGCAGAAGAGTCTTGAAAGCCTCATGGGTGGCCAGAATGGATTTACAGTAAATGCTATTGAAGTTTTGAACTTCAACAGTCTCGGTTTTCAGTGGTTATAGTACAAGCATGTATGTAGAAACTTTTTTTTTTTTAAAGAAGTTGAAACAGTTTTGATCAAATCTGTTATGATGCTTCTGGAATACTTGTTCTACTAGGTTTTGCTTTTGTTGATGGGTATTCAGACTAATGTAAAGTTTTTAGAGCTAATTATGTTATTTAGTCCAAGCAGATTATTTCTGAAATCATAGTTTATAGGACAGGGTCATTTATCAAAATTCTCTTGACACTTGCCCTACAAATACTAGTTACTGCAAAGCATCATTTTGCTAGAACTGTTCCAGCTTTCTGTGCTTTTAGTTAGCTTGTTTATTCCATGAGCATACTTGTGGGTAAATCATGTTGAAATGATATACAACCAGTAAAATTTCATTCCTAGTTGCTGCATGTTACTGTGTTCTAAATACGAAAAAAAAAAAAAAGGATTATACATGATCATAGAATAGAATCGTAGATCTGTAAACTTGATTGCATAATATAGATGGGACAGCTGTAATGGAATAGATCAGAGTGGCAACAGCCAAGAGGCGTTTCCTGAAATCTCTTCTGAGCGCTACTTAACTATAGGAATTTCTAGTGTGTGTTCTGCCGTGATGATTCTTAAGGTTCTTTGAAAGCATAGCCGAGAAACAGAAATAGAACTTTTTAATTGTCTTCTCGCTGGTCTGAGATTCTAGGTGCGTTCATTTCCTTTCTTAGGGGTGTGAGCAACTGCTGGTATCTTACAGCTATTGAATGTACACAAGGCTTGGAAGTAAGTTAATTGCAACTGTAAACAGCTTTTACTTTTTAGAACACTAAACTTTTATCCTCAGTAAAAGAATAAATTTAGTCTGTGTTCTTGGCCAAGTTTATCTCCCTTTATGTATTTCCTGTTACTTTGAAGGGTGCAAAGGTTCTCATGTGTAATAGTTCTAGGGAACGAAATTTATACTTAAAGTGCAGACGTCCTTATTTCTGAAGAAATAAGGTGATACATAATTGGTTTTCTTCTTTTCTTTTTGCAATACCCTCTTCTAAGGGCTTATTGAAGCAGTGAGAGACTTTTGTTCTTTTAATTTCTTTTTTTCATTTTGTTTTTTATGAGAGCTTAGGAAGAAAGATCTTCAGACAGTTTTTCTGTTTGTTTTGCTTTTCCCATTTTTTTCCATATTATTGAAACAAAGCTGAATAGTCAAAGAAGTACCAATGGGATTAAGCTACTGTATGAAATAAATGGCTTTTTTCCTGTAAAGGGTGTTTATAATTTTTTAATCTTACTCTTCATTGTAGCCAAGTGTCCTTGGGTCTGTTCCCTACTTTCCTCACCTTCTACCTCCCCACTAAAAAAAATCTAGGGTGATTACATGTGGGACATTATAAATGCTTTGTCTAGGGATCTTTGCTGTATCTTTGGCTGATGATGCTTAATACGTGGTTCTGTTATAGGAAAGTACCCATCCATGTGTCTGAGTAAGCTTGTAAATGTACCTAGACACTTAGAAAAGCCTTATCAGATGACTTTAATCAAAGATGGGAGGAAAAAAGATCCGCTTGATTAAAGAGAAGCAGCACAGAAGTACTTTAATCTTGCTTCCCCCCCCCTCAATCCACCACCCTCAACCCCCCCCCCCCCCCTTCTCTTATGTGCAGATTTGGTGTCTCGGGGTATGTTAGGTGTTCTAATTCACCATGGTTTATCAAAAGTTGAGAGACAATGTTGTTTGGCAGTCTCTGTAGCAAGAGAGGAAGCATCTTTTGTTATTGACATCCTTTCTCTTAGCTCTGCTCTTGCTTTTTGCCAGCTGCTCATTGTCTATACTTGCTTATTTAGTATTCACAAGGGATTTTACAAGTTCTTATCAGTTCGTTGCCACAGCACATCATTTCCTCTTGTCATCGTTACTCCTTAAATTGGGGGGGTAGGATTTGCATTAGAGCTGGTGAGCGGTAGGAAGCACCACCATTCATGAGCGCAGTTTGAGCTGCACAGTGTTGTTTTGCTCCTCTCCTTTCTGAGGCAGTTTGTAGTAAAGGTCACATTTCTAGTACTTACTCTGCCATGCCTTTCCCCTCCCGTCTTTTTCTGGGGAAAA